CTCCTCCCACAGTTTTTACACTACATAGACCAAAATTTACCAAAATGCAGATTATTGTTCTCGACCGGGATTGCTACTTGTGGAACGTGCCTCACTAATGCAGTTCACGAATATCGTCATTGCCTGTGGCTACAATTTGTCCCATATCGAATGGCAAAGCTAGAGTGGGAGCTGCCAAAAGCTGAAAAATCAGGACATGATTTCTAAACTGCCACCACTCCCTTATTTTCAGGCCCACCTACACAAATCTATATCAAAACGTTCAGCTATCCCTGCTGCCACTAAACATGTCAACGGCTAAGCCGTAGTCCTGATAGTTTTCACAATATGACCATTTGTTTGCAACCAACGCCGTCCATTGACATTCATTGAAACTTCACTCTGCAAAGCTCAAATTTGAAGTACAATTTCTAAACTGCGACTGTGCCTTCATTTTTAATACTTCAGAGACATACTATGCATCAAAATGTAGGTCTGGGTCTTGTGATTCTCACAATATAAAGCTCTTCGCTGTAGGATTTATAGCTTTTAAAATACGACCGTTTGAAGATGGCAACCGCCAAAATACTCTGACCTGTGCCAGGCTGCAGCAGCAAGTGATGTCATAGACAGGGCCTTTTGAACACCTGCTAATGTTTTATAAATGTATGGTTTAATGTAACTGTGCAACAACGTTGCAATTAAATGTGCTATGTAAATGATAACAGTTACTCCGCCCACTCCAGTTGTAGACTAATGGTGGAGGCAAGAACACTTCACACAATTTCCCCAGAAATTGTAGCTTTTCTAGTTATTATTATTATTATTATAGCAAAATTTGCCACCCTAACTCCTCCCACAGTTTTTACACTACATAGACAAAAATTTACCAAAATGTGCAGATTGTTCCCGATCGGATTGCTATTACTTTGTGGAACGTTTCGCCGAATGGTTCACTGAATATCGTCGTTCTTGTGGCGAAATTTGTCCCATAGGTATGAATGGCAAAGCTAGAGAGGGAGCTGGCAAAAGCTGAAAAATCAGGACATGATTTCTAAACTGCCACCACTCCCTTATTTTCAGGCCCACCTACACAAATCTTATATCAAAATGTTCAGCTATCCCTGCCACTAAATACAACGGCTAAGTCCTGATAGTTTTCACACATGACCATTTACTTGCAACCAACGCCGGCCCATTGACATTCATTGAAACTTCACTCTGCAAAGCTCAAATTTGAAGTGCAATTTCTAAACTGCGACTGTGCCTTCAATTTTAATACTTCAGAGACATACTATGCATCAAAATGTAGGTCTGGGTCTTGTGATTCTCACAATATAAAAGCTCTTCACTGTAGGAGATACAGTTTTTAAAGATACGACCGTTTGAAGATGGCAACCGCCAAAATACTCTGACCTGTGTCAAGCTGCAGCAGCAAGTGATGTCATAGACAGGGCCTTTTGAACACCTGCTAATGTTTTTATAAATGTATGGTTTAATGTAACTGTGCAACAACGTTGCAATTAAATGTGCTATGTAAATGATAACAGTTACTCCGCCCGCTCCAGTTGTAGACTACAGGTGGAGGCAAGAACACTTCACACAATTTCCCCTGAAATTGTAACTTTCTAGTTATTATTATTATTATAAAGGTAAATTTGCCACCCCAATCCCTCCCACAGTTTTACAACTACATAGACCAAAATACTCAAAACGCAGATTGTTCCCGACTGATTGCTATTACTTTAGGAAATACCTAATGGTTACTTGAATATCGTCGTCTTGTGGCGCAATTTGTCCCATAGGAATGAATGGCAAAGCTAGAGTGGAGCTGTGCTGAAAAATCAGGACATGATTTCTAAACTGCCACCACTCCCTTATTTTCAGGCCCACCTACACAAATCTTATATCAAAACGTTCAGCTATCCCTGCTGCCACTAAATATGTCAACGGCTAAGCCGTAGTCCTGATAGTTTTCACAATATGACCATTTGTTTGCAACCAACGCCGTCCATTGACATTCATTGAAACTTCACTCTGCAAAGCTCAAATTTGAAGTACAATTTCTAAACTGCGACTGTGCCTTCAATTTTAATACGTCAGAGACATACTATGCATCAAAATGTAGGTCTGGGTCTTGTGATTCTCACAATATAAAGCTCTTCGCTGTAGGATTTATAGTTTTTAAAATATGACCGTTTGAAGATGGCAACCACCAAAATACTCTGACCTGTGTCAAGCTGCAGCAGCAAGTGATGTCATAGACAGGGCCTTTTGAACACCTGCTAATGTTTTATAAATGTATGGTTTAATGTAACTGTGCAACAACGTGTTATATAAATGATAACAGTTGCGTCGCCCACTCCAGTTGTAGACTACTGGTGGAGGCAAGAACACTTCACACAATTTCCCCAGAAATTGTAGCTTTTCTAGTTATTATTATTATTATTATCGCAAAATTTGCCACCCTAACTCCTCCCACAGTTTTTACACTACATAGACAAAAATTTACCAAAACGTGCAGATTGTTCCCGATCGGATTGCTATTACTTTGTGGAACGTTTCGCCGAATGGTTCACGGAATATCGTCGTTCTTGTGGTGAAATTTGTCCCATAGGAATGAATGGCAAAGCTAGAGTGGGAGTTGGCAAAAGCTGAAAAATCAGGACATGATTTCTAAACTGCCACCACTCCCTCATTTTCAAGCCCACCTACACAAATCTTATATCAAAACGTTCAGCTATCCCTGTTGCCACTAAACATGTCAACGGCTAAGCCATAGTCCTGATAGTTTTCACAATATAATCATTTGTTTGCAACTAACGCCGTCCATTGACTTTCATTGAAACTTCACTCTGCAAAGCTCAAATTTGAAGTGCAATTTCTAAACTGCGACCGTGCCTTCAATTTTAATACCTCAGAGACATACTATGCATCAAAATGTAGGTCTGGGTCTTGTGGCACAATAGCAAGCTCTTCACCGTGGGGAGTTATGTTTTAAAAATACGACCGCTTTGAAGATGGCAACCGCCAAAATACTCTGACCTGTGTCAGGGGTTGCAGCAGCAAGTGATGTCATAGACAGGGCCTTTTGAACACCTCATAATGTTTTTTATAAATGTATGGTTTAATGTAACCAGCAACAACGCTGCAATTTAAGATGCTATGTAACAACAGTTACTCCTACCCACCCAGTTGTAGACTACAGGTGGAGTGGCAAGAACACTTCACACAATTTCCTGAAATTGTAACTTTTCAGTTACATACATATTATAAAATTTGCCACCCCACCTCCCACAGTTTTACACTACATAGACCAAAATTCTACCAAAACGTGCAGATTGTTCCCCGGATCGATTGCTATTACTTTTGTGGAATGTTTTGCCGAATGGTTCACGGAATATCGTCGTTCTTGTGGCGAAATTTGTCCCATAGGAATGAATGGCAAAGCTAGAGTGGGAGCTGGCAAAAGCTGAAAAATCAGGACATGATTTCTAAACTGCTACCACTCCCTCATTTTCAGGCCCACCTACACAAATCTTATATCAAAACGTTCAGCTATCCCTGCTGCCACTAAACATGTCAACGGCTAAGCCATAGTCCTGATAGTTTTCACAATATGACCATTTGTTTGCAACCAGCGCCGTCCATTGACATTCATTGAAACTTCACTCTGCAAAGCTCAAATTTGAAGTGCAATTTCTAAACTGCGACTGTGCCTTCAATTTTAATACTTCAGAGACATACTATGCATCAAAATGTAGGTCTGGGTCTTGTAATTCTCACAATATAAAGCTCTTCACTGTAGGAGTTATAGTTTTTAAGATACGACCGTTTGAAGATGGCAACCGCCAAAATACTCTGACCTGTGTCAAGCTGCAGCAGCAAGTGATGTCATAGACAGGGCCTTTTGAACACCTGCTAATGTTTTATAAATGTATGGTTTATCGTAACTGTGCAACAACGTTGCAATTAAATGTGCTATGTAAATGATAGCAGTTACTCCGCCCACTCCAGTTGTAGACTACAGGTGGAGGCAAGAACACTTCACACAATTTCCCCAGAAATTGTAACTTTTCTAGTTATTATTCTTATTATTATAGCAAAATTTGCCACCCTAACTCCTCCCACAGTTTTTACACTACATAGACAAAAATTTACCAAAACGTGCAGATTGTTCCCGATCGGATTGCTATTACTTTGTGGAACGTTTCGCCGAATGGTTCACGGAATATCGTCGTTTTTGTGGCAAAATTTGTCCCATAGGAATGAATGGCAAAGCTAGAGTGGGAGCTGGTAAAAGCTGAAAAATCAGGACATGATTTCTAAACTGCCACCACTCCCTTATTTTCAGGCCCACCTACACAAATCTTATATCAAAACGTTCAGCTATCCCTGCTGCCACTAAACATGTAAACGGCTAAGCCGTAGTCCTGATAGTTTTCACAATATGACCATTTGTTTGCAACCAACGCCGTCCATTGACATTCATTGAAACTTCACTCTGCAAAGCTCAAATTTGAAGTGCAATTTCTAAACTGCGACTGTGCCTTCATTTTTAATACTTCAGAGACATACTATGCATCAAAATGTAGGTCTGGGTCTTGTGATTCTCACAATATAAAGTTCTTCGCTGTAGGATTTATAGTTTTTAAGATACGACAGTTTGAAGATGGCAACCGCCAAAATACTGTGCCAGGCTGCAGCAGCAAGTGATGTCATAGACAGGTCCTTTTATACACCTGCTGTTTTTATAAATGTATGGTTTAATGTAACCGTGCAACATTGTTGCAATTAAATGTGCTATATAAATAATAACAGTTACTCCGCCCACTCCAGTTGTAGACTACTGGTGGAGGCAAGAACACTTCACACAATTTCCCCAGAAATTGTAGCTTTTCTAGTTTTATTAAGTTTCCTAGGACTGGACCTGTACTGTGTAAAGAGGCTGAGCTTCAGATTGCGTGTGCAATTTCAAATCCAAATTGTGACATCAGACAGAGAGCCCAGACTTTGTCACATGTGTTTCATAAATGACAAAATTGAACTTCAGCTACTCTTATTAGGCTTGTTACGGTTTTTAGCTCCAGGCCCGTGTAGCCCTTAATTAATCAGATTTGCACAAATTTTCAATGCTTTGACACCACCTAAATATCTTAATTCTCAGTTAAACTGTGTCGTAACCGTTAATTCAGCATCCACTTCCTGGTGATTATAAATGATCATCTTCACTTGTTTTACCCATATTTTTCACAGTCTATGCCCTAAAGCAGGGATTCGCAACCCAGTCCTTAATTACCCCCTACCAGTCCAGGATTTAGGGATTACCCTGTTGTGTCTAAAGTATTTTTTTTCAACTGGGTAATTCCAAAATCCTGGACTGTTAGTGGGTATTTGAGGACTGGGTTGGGAACCAATGCCCTAAAGGCACACTATAGTCACCAGAGCTTAAAGGAACACTAGAGTCACCTAAATTACTTTAGCTAAATAAAGCAGTTTTAGTGTATAGATCATTCCCCTGCAATTTCACTGCTCAATTCACTGTCCTTTAGGAGTTAAATCACTTTGTTTCTGTTTATGCAGCCCTAGCCACACCTCCCCTGGCTATGATTGACAGAGCCTGCATGAAAAAAAAACTGGTTTCACTTTCAAACAGATGTAATTTACCTTAAATAATTGTATCTTAATCTCTAAATTGAACTTTAATCACATACAGGAGGCTCTTGCAGGGTATAGCAATCTATTAACATAGCAGGGGATAAGAAAATCTTAATTAAACAGAACTTCCAATAAAGAAAGCCTAAATAGGGCTCTCTTTACAGGAAGTGTTTATGGAAGGCTGTGCAAGTCACATGCAGGGAGGTGTGACTAGGGTTCATAAACAAAGGGATATAACTCCTAAATGGCAGAGGATTGAGCAGTGAAATTGCAGGTGCATGTTCTATACACCAAAACTGCTTCATTAAGCTAAAGTTGTTCAGGTGACTATAGTGTCCCTTTAATGTAGTGGTTCTGCCGTCTATAGCCTGCCCCTGCAGGCTCAGCAATGAAAATGCCACTTCTTCAGAGAAACGTTAGTGTTTACATTGCTGCTTAGTAACACCTCTAGGTGCAGTCACTCAGATTGTCACTAGAGGCACTTCCTATTTCAGTAATGCATTGTGTGCAGTGCATGGAGACACTAAACGCTCTTTTTAGAGATGCATTGATTCAATGTATGTTGTCGCTCATACGCAGAAGTCTAGAGATTGATGATCTCAGTTGTGGGATGCATATAATACGATATTGTTCTTTTAAGGAAAGTTCTTCAGCTTGCTGAAGTGTTTTCTGTCTGGAGTCTTTCACTCCCCCCTCTAGTATTGCACTTAATACCCCTGGCACAGACTTTCAATCTGTTTATTTTTTTTTTTATATATATATACTTACATAGAAAATATGCAGAAAAAAAATGCATGTTTTCTTTAAAGGAACACTATATGGTCAGGAACACAAACATTTATTCCTGACCCTATAGTGGTAAAACAACCATTTAGGTGGCTTGGCCCCCCTAGGAAAGGTGAAAACTCACCCTATTCCCAGTGCTGCACGGACCCGCCGCCACTGGCCCTGCCCTTGATCTGCATCGTTGGTGATATCCTCGGAATTGCAGACTTTTAGCCAATCCAGTGCTTTCCCGCAAGATGTGACATTCCTCCTAGAGGCAGTGGCACTAAACGAAAGTCAGAATAAAAAAATTCAAGTGCAGAGCGAGAAATAATAACAAAAGAAAAACAAAACATAGGCTGGAGTCCCGTACAAATTCAGGTCACCGAGTCACTGGTTCCACAGGGTACGAAAGGGTTGACTCTGGATATGTGTGGCTCGTGCCCACTGCATCGGTCTGGTCCTGTAGGCCAAGTGCCTGAAGGAAAGCTGTTCCCTCTGAGGGTCCCAGGGCTTTGGAAATCTTTCCATTTTGGTTGACTGTAAGAGCTCTAGGGAAAGACCATCTGTAAGGGAGGCCAGCATTTTGCAGGGTTTTCGTGATTAGATGCATTGATTTTTGCCACAATAAGGTGGCTTTGCTTAAGTCTTGAAAGAATGTAAGAGTTTGTGATTCAAAGTGTAGTGGAGTCTTCCCCTTCATGGCGTTGTGTTTATCTGCAAGGGTTTGGCAGCACAGGATTGTGTCCCGGGGGACCTTAGCTGGTGCTTGTGATGATTTAGCTATGCAGTACATGCAGTCAAAGGT